GTTCAAAATGATCAATATGTGGAATCAGAACAAGTGATTGCTAGAGCTGAGAAATCAGAAACACGTGAATACAAGTGAGAAACACTTGCTAGAAAATGTATTATTAAGCATTACTTTCACTACAAGCAAACATATCCGCAATCAATTCAGGTTACAAATCACAAACACAACAGATCAATGCTTTCCCCTCAATCTCTCCCCAACAGCCAATTCCCCGAAAACTCGACCAACTCATAATCGAAGCTACAGAGTTCGTCTCACACCACAAGCGCTCCTTTACGACAAAATCAGAAGACGCAACGAAAGATTTAGTTTGGACAAATGAACAAAAGACGATTCAAAATCGAAAATGCTCACATGTGGAGAGGACGATGATCCAAACGAAGAAAAGTTCCCGAAAAGGAAACCCTCGCCGGAGCTCCTTCATCTGCTCGACCTTACAACCTGGACATTCCTCGTGGTACTTCGTCTTCTCCAACAACGCATCCTTGTATTCCGCCATTTTCCCCCTTGTTCTGAAATGCTTTGCCTATACTCCCAAAAAACACCTAATTTTTCAACCCAAAAAACAAAAGGAGAATCGAAACATCAAAAAACTTGGGCGGAAACAAGGTGGGAGGTAGCAGAGAATCTCGAGGAAATCGGAAATCGTACAGGACCTCGGATGATAATCACGGGGCGTGAGAAAGGGGAGAGAAAACGATAGAAAATACTCAGAAGCTCAGATTCTCTCTCGCAGGAAAGCCATCCAGTGAAACGACCAAAGAAAAAAGAGTTTGTCACGTTCCGTATATATATATTCAGAAGACACAGCGATGATGTAGCTAATCGCCAAAAATGACCCCTTCAGTCTTTATATATAATAAATTTTATTTTAAATACGAATAGAATACTTGCCTAATTTTGGACGCGATTAATTCAATTTAAGTTATTTTTAAATTAGGCTCTCAGAGCTAGGTTTTTTTAAATAAATAAAAAAAAAAGGAAAGAGAAAGGAGGAATGTTTTCCACGATCGCATGTGATAATGCTGCTGCTGACAAGAAGGAACAGACAAATGGATCCAAAAGAAAAAATGAAATTGATGAGTTACTGCAGGTTATGTCTATCTTTGAATCTGGCGTCCATAAAATAAACTAATCCAACTTTTTCCTTTAATTAGTGTTATGATATGGTCTTGATTACGATCCGATACAACCATTTTAGAGATTTCTTTGCCTATAATACTTTATGTTTAGCCATCATTTGCATTTCACTAACACTATAGCAAACTAAAAATCTATCGAATTGCAGTAACTGATTAACCCTTTATATATATACACACACATATATATCCCATTTATATAAATCGAATATTTTTATAGTTTACTATAGTGCTAGTGAAATGCCAATGATGACAATATATGTATGACCATGTCGAATATCGTCATAAAAAGGTTACCAAAACAAAAAGATTTATAAAATATGTTATGAGGAAGCAAACATTAAGTGTGTGTGTACATATATATATATATATATATATATTTACACATGGTATCAAGGTCTTAAATGGATTTCTTTTGAGTTGATTTTTTAAGAAAACTATTGCTAACCAAATTCAAATGAAATTTGGATCTTAAAAATCCAAAATAAAAACTAATTTGATTTTTAAAATTTTAAAATCAAAAACTCTAAATAAAAAATGAATTGTGACCTAAAATATCAATGTTTTAATCGCGAGGAAAATATGGAAATACGTGAAATTTCGAGTTTTAGTTTCTCCTTGGCAAAAGGATGAGCTCATTTGTTCTTCGACATCACTCTTCGTGTGTCCTCGAAGACCAAGTCATACACGATTCACGTGAATTTCGTTCTTTCAAAATTCATTAAAAATAAATAAAAACAAAAATAAAAACAGTCCAGCACGAAAACTTACAAGTGGAAAATCGAAAATTCGCGGACCAAAAGACATGGTGAGTTCACTATGATGACATAGACGAAATCTCTTTCTTGAGTTCTTCATTTATTTGACGTTTACGGAACCTCCCATAAAAACCCTTTCAAATTGGCATAATTTTGAATAATATTTTGTTTGTCTGTTTTATTGAGATATTTTCTAAATATATCGAACAAATTAATGAAAAGCAAAAAAAAAATGAAAGAAAAAAAATGATTAAATTAAATAAATCAAAATAATCTAATATATAATTGGTAAAAATTAATATACTTTTTAAGCGATTAAATTGTGAGAAAATAAATAAATTGAATAATCAAATCAAAGAAGTTGCGATAGGAGAGAGAAGGGCATTTGAGGAATTTCACCCTTGAGCTATATAGGGGGAAGCCGGAACCCTAGCCTCTCCGTTCGCCTGCTGCCTCCGAGTAAGAGGTGCGTCCCTCTTTCCC